TTCATTTATATTAAAAGTGGGAAGCCTCCAAGTCTAAAGTTGAATTACGAAAATGCCCATACAAATTTTTATTCATTCATTTATATTAAAAGTGGGAAGCCTCCAAGTCTAAAGTTGAATTACGAAAATGTCATACAAATTTTTATTAACAAGTTCTACAAAAAAAAAAAAAAAAAAAAAAACACTTCTAAACAGAAAAACGTTTATTTTCTACATTGAATTTGAATGTAGAAAATTGTTTCATCTTCCCACAATTATTAAATGTTTGAATTGCTTAGTTATAACCAACAATTATTTCAATCTTAATGATTTGTTTTTTTCATCTTGCATGTTAGTAATAACTTTTCATATTCTTTACAACATTCTATAAATTTGCATAGAAAAATATATACATTGATCAATCAAATTATCAAATCAAATTACCACTCAAACATCTAATTTCTTGACAGAAAACAATGTTGGAAAAACAATCAAACCAATTTTATATATTTATTTCTTCAAGCATAGAGAATTGTGTAAAGTAGAACCCAACGTGACCTTCATTGATCATATATTTAGGTATTTATACAAGAGTTTATACATAGACAATTACATAAATAACCCTTAGTAGATACATTAACTAATACCTAAATATCATACTTATCACTCCCCCTCAAGTTGAACCAGGTATAAGGTTCAACTTGCCACGTAAATCACAAAAACGATCCTTCAAGAGAGGCTTGGTAAGAATATCCGCAAGCTGATCATGAGAAGAAATATATTGAACCCGAAGTTCCTTTTTCTGTACAAGATCTCGAATATAGTGAAAATCAATCTCCATAGGTTTGGTGCGAGAGTGAAACACCGAGTTAGCTGTAAGATAGGTTGCACTTAAATTATCACACCACAATGAAGGCAAGGAACCAGAAGAAAGATCAATTTCTTTCAACAATAGACGAATCCATAGAAGTTCACAGGTGGCAGCAGCAAGAGAGCGATATTCGGCCTCAGTAGTAGAGCGTGAGACATATTGTTGTTTGCGAGAACATACTTATCAAATTGCTCTTCTCCTTCACTTCTCAGCAATCCTTTTAGATTTGGAAACCTTTCCATAAGTGTCCGTTTTGGTGCCGAACTCCTTTCCATAGAAAGTCGTTCCAAGTATGAGAACGTTGGGGCAAAAAATATTATGCTTCTTTGGGTTTTGATAATTATATGAAACTTTATTTGGGTATTAGAAATATGCCGGTTGTAATCACATAATTTATGTATTAATATTGTTAATTATTTTTTGGGTTTATATGATACTTCTTTTAAGATGAGTTGTAATAATAATTGTGTTCTATACATTTTTTACTAATATTCCTTACAATTGTCTTGCTGAAAGTCCCTTCCTTTTTCCTTTTGTATAAATTAGCCTTTATTTTCTCGCTTTGTATTTTATGATGAATAGGTTTGTTGCGTTGCAATTATTTTTGTCTTTTGATAGGCTTTTGATGATAATCTCTTGAATTATCTGTCAAGAGTTTTCCTTTTTGTAATTCTGCACTTTAATAGAGAAGATGTGGGATTAAATTATGAATTAGAAATTTTTTGTGGTAGTGTTTCATATACTTTTAGATATGTTGTGTGAAGGATGATGACTCAAAAATTGTATTCAGAAAGTTCTACTATGAAGTAAAGCCATAAGTCTCACATTGGCTTTGTTGTTTATTTGATACAAATAATTAATAAATAAGAGTAAAACAAGATACATGAATAAATAAGATTAAAATTCCAATGAGTGAAGAAAGTTGTTGTTGATACTCTTCTCTTAAGGTCATCTTGTTTGAATTGTGCAAACTAGGTATGTTAAGTTTCATTATGGTTCAAAGTGTAAAGTGGAATTATCGTTTTACTTCTATGCTAAATTAAATATCTAATTAATTAAATAGTAAACAATATCATATATATTGTACTAAATACTAAAAGTGAAAAGGTGTTAAAGTCAAAGATTGAATCAACTTTTAATTGCAATAAAATGAGAAAAACATTAAGAAAGGTGAAAATAAAAAGATCATGGTTTAAAGACTCTTCATTTCTACAAATTAAATTTTAAAACTCTTACATTTTCATTCTCTCATATTGAATATATGAAGGAAAAAATTGGACTTGCAAATTATAAAGTAAGCATGGGACAATATCTTATAAATCATAAGAACTGATAGTATTTAATTATTGATTTCAAAATCTTTTCTTTTATTTGATTCCATCTTCATCTGTGTATTACCATATTTAGTTGTGTTTATGTGTCATTTTCCTTCTCTCAATTTTGGTTTTTATGTTGCACAATATCAATTTATGAACTTTTAAAATTTGTTGATTGCGTGAAAAATATAAGATGAATACATTATTGTTTGGAATAAACGTGCAATGCATGTTCCCGGAAACTAGTATTACTAAAAAGGGAAGCTCCTAACCTCAAAGTTGGATTACCATTTTGCCCCTAAAATAAAATATAATTTAATTAAATATCTAATTAATTAAATGATAAATAATAATCATTATTTTAAAAACTTTTTCCATTCAAAAATAACATTAATTCTCCACATCACCAATTAATCATTATGTCCAGAATGTGGAGAAGATAGAAAGCTGGAAAAAGTAATTTAATGTAGACCAAATTCATTGGATTATATAAATTAAATAAACATAATTCTTTGGCAATTACCAAGAATTATTACATAAATGTTTGCATTTTGAATAGCCACAATCCCACTACTATACAGAATTAAATAAATGTTTGCATTTTTAATTAGAGAGTGTAATTAGTTGTGTATAAAATATAGGCAAAATGTTCTTGTGGACCCTTATACTTGTATGCAAATGTATTGTGAATCCTTCTACTTAATCATTTGTCAACTGAACCCTTAAACTCAATCAAAATGAGTCTTTTAAACCCCTCCAACCATGTGTGTAGCTCACTCTCCTTTACATAAATGACACGTCATATACACATCAGATATATTAATGCCATGTCATAATTATTTTAAAAATTATTAATCAAAATTGTTTAATAAAAGGTAAAATAATAAAAAAATAATTATATTATTTAAAGTAAAACCCATTATGGAATTGAAAAAGATTTGCTTCTTCCTCCAAATGGGATAAGCCATTTGACGATCAAGAATTGGAAATTCGGGAGAGTATTTTAGCGGGAAACAGAGACAAATATATCTTTTTCTTCTGGAAACTCATTTCTCAACTTTAGGTGTATACTGCCTATTTATATATCAAAATGACATGTGTATTAGCAACAAAGTATATATTTATTTTGGTGCACAATTATTTATCTCATCTATTATGCTGAATTAAACTAATAGATTGCCATCTATGAAAAACTTACATAAAAAATAAATTTATTTGAATCTCAAAATTCAAGAAGTATCACATAAAATGGGATGAATGGAGTATTTATTTTGGTGGACAACACGCACCAGGATAACTTTAGGTGTATACTGACACAAAGTCAAAGAAAAAATCTATAACTTTTCACTATGAAGGGGTCTTTTATTTCTCTTATAACACATGTAACCTTCGAACTTTTTATTTCACTCATTATTCTACCTCTTTATTCTTGTAACTTATGTAACATCTAAGTCATTTACCTACCCAATTAACTACCTCATTATCTTTCTATTTATTGTAAGGAATAATTTATCACCTATGAATAATGTTCGAATTCGGGATCGATTCTCCCACCTCCTTGCTTTTATGAACTTCATATCCTAGTGTAATGAACTTGACAGTGGCATATCCTGTAGGAAGGAGACGGCCGTCGATGGCGGATGAGACTGTGTAGTAACAAGCTTTGTAGATGAAATGGAAATCGCAAGTTCCGATTACTTTTTGGAGGAAGTACTTTGTGTCGGTCATTGGATCAATGAGGATATTTCCGGGTATAGGACGGTAGAAAATTTACCGAAGGTAAGGTCCAGTTAACACAATTAGCCTTCAACGATTAAACAGACTCGTAAAACATCAAACTATAACTAAACTATCCAACTATATGACGAGTTTAAAATAAGTAGCTCTGAACTAAGGTTCTAATTTGAAGGGTTGCTCTCGCGTTGCATATATAGACCACTTTGTTTGCTATGTCTTCTCAATATTTAGTTTTCTTCTTGAATATCCTTTTCATTCTTTTAATCTATAAACAGTGAGTGAACTCTTCTAGAAGCATTTTAAAAATCTGAGCAGGTTGCGATCTCCCTTTTGAGTTGCTAATAGTATAGTGCATGAATTGGTCTCTTATCAGTTCCTCCTTGTGTAACCATTTGAGGAGTCTTAACCAGATAATTCTAGAAAAGAGCATTCTTGAAGAGATGATTTTGGACTCATTTGTCTGTTGGCCGAGGATACATTTCAGTCCCCATAATAAGAATTCATCGAGTGTATAACCGCGTTCAAATTACTTGCATTATTATTACTAATCGACAGATTTAGAACTATTTAAGAAGAACTTGTGCTGTCACTGCAACTGTAGCACATGTATCAGATACATCAACAAGAATACACGTCAAAGTTGTATTTCTTCCACTAATACACACTCTAGTATCTCTATTCCTCTTTGTTCTGTCTAAAATGGGACACAATTTTCTATAGCACAACAATGCATCGGCAAATTAACAGAAATCACACACCTTTCGATTAAAAATGAAATCTACTTTCTAGTCATATGCAGACAGTCGCATGAAACTGGTTTTCTATATGATGTGCACTGCCCGACGGCCACTCATATAGCCCATCTCGATTCTGCCCGCGAAACAGAGGCTCCCCCGTACTCAGATCCTTCACACAATAAGCAAAAGGAAAGAATTCAATGGATGTACGGTTATCACGGCAAAATTTGGAAACAGAAAGAAGATTATTTTTTATAGAATGAGAACATAAAGAATTGAGAAGCTTAAATTGCTGATTCGATGCAGTTAAGTTAGTGTTACCGGTATGAGATATTGGAATGGTGTTACCGTCCCCCATTGCTACTCCTCTGGACCGTGGTAGGTGTGCACATCAGTGAAGTTTTGCGCATTAGAGGCCATATGATGAGTGGCGCCTGTATCAACAATCCAAGGAGCCTGTTGAGTTGGAGATCGAGCAGCATAGTTTGCCCGGGCTTGTATGTGATCGTGTGATTGTGATCTGCAAACCTTAGCAAAACTACCAGGACGGTCACACAACTGGCAATTCAGAGTGTGGTCATAACGCTGCTGTTGGTTATTGTTGCCAGCACGCCGTGACTGGGCACGCCTTGACTGGTTGGTGTTGGGGGAATTTGCATTTGAACGCCTATTAGAGGTGTTTCCTTGGCGATGATGCATGTTTGTTTGTTGTGCAATAGTAGCAGTAATGGGTGTTGAGAGTGGCTTCTTTGATTCTTCATGCTTGACGAAACGTTCATGGTCAAGTAACTTCTCATAAAGTTCTGGATAAGAGATAGTAGAATCTCTTGCACGAATATTAGCTGATATTTCACGGAATTCAGGTCCAAGTCCAGTGAGGATTTTGACAATCAGTTCCTCATTAGACACAGGAGCTCCAGCAGTGGCAAGTTCATCACAGAGAGATCGAACCTGGTGCAGATAATCAGTGACAGGAAGGGTTTCTTTTGCGAGGCGAGCCAGATGATCGCGCAAACTAAAGATCCTTGTTTACGATTTGTTGGCATACGCAGTGTGCAAAACATCCCAAGCAGCCTGGGAAGTGGATGCAGCGACAACCGTAGTAGCAAGAGTTGGATCAACTGAGGCCAAGATGACATTTTGAATTAGTTGATCCTAGCGATACCATGAAATAAATGCAGGATTTTCGACGTCCTGATTATTTTGAGACACTGTACGAGCAGGGGTTGGGCGAGAACTGTCGAGATGGCCAAAAAGATTGTGACATGGACACTTGTGCTTTCCAAAGGGAAAAATTGTGTCTGTGAGTTAATTTGATTGGTAACTGGTGACAGGATTAAACTGAACAATCATTGTATTGGCATCGGAATTGGTTACAGTGATGTTTGGGGCCATTTTTCTGGGAAGGGTGGAAGGGTTTCTCGACAGAAATTTACTCGTGAGAGTTAATTGGCTCTTGATACCATATAAAGTATAAAGTTGCCAGTAGAATGAAAGGAACGATGTGTTTTATTGATTGTAAACTAAGTATATATAGATTTTGTACAACTTCTATAGCAAAGAGATAAACTAAGAAAAAGGTAAGACTTATCTATAACCTATATACAAGGAGGAAGTTACAACAGAGTCCTAAAGAGAAGACACTACTAAATATGATGCGTTATTACATTGAAGCACAAGATCTTTCATATAGAGCTAACGGATGAATTGAAACTCATCGAATAACAGAAATGTCAGCCAATCTTTTCTTGCAAATACATAAAAGCAAATTAACATGACAATTCTTGAATCATTTACAGAATTTCAACATAAAACTTGGAAAAACTGTTATCACAAGACATTCAAGATTGTATAACATTCACTCCCTCTTTTTCTTTGTCTGGCTGTTTTCTTTCTATTAGAGAAAATGTTACTTAGCAAATATTGGGACTGAGTTGTAATTCATGAAAGTTAGAAGTATTAATTTGTAAGTTGTAGAAACTGTTAGAAAGTTAGTTAGGAGAAGTTAGTTACGGAATAGTATATATAAACACATGTATGATGATAGCAAAAGTTAGTTCAAGTTGAATGAAAATAGTGCTTAATAAACTTCATCTTCTTCTCTCTTAGCTTGAATAGAAATATCCTTCAATGGTAAAATCTCACACTTTCACTTTGTTGAACAATTTCTCCCAATGGATTACTTTCCTCTTTTTCCTCTTTTCTTCTTAGAATAGGTCTATTCATTCCATTTGCATACTGTTTCACAGTCTCTTCATACGACTCTTTGCTTTTTCAAATGGTTCGCCCAACTGACATAAGATAAGGTACAGAAACCGACAACAACTCCATTTGCAACATATTCCGATAATCTCTCGGCTATGTGATTATTGGTTGTATTGGCAATCTTTTCAGAAATCATCCGGTGACTATTGGAAATAAGCCATTGTTTGCAATCACGAACATCAATCACGAATTTCTGGTCGCTGTAAAATTTTTTTACGTTTAGACATCAATCTGATAGTAACAAACAATAAGAAGAAAACAGTGAATTACCTCACTGAAGTTAGAGCAACCTCTTTTGACGTATGGAAAAATCATTTTGTCCAAATGAGGGAATTAGTAGCTATGGTAAATCTAGAAAAGATACATCAAACAAATATAATTGAGAAGTATCACTCATTAATTTAATGTATACCCACTGAATAATATAAATGGACTTGAGCACTTCCTAGATTTCATACACTGAATTCAGTGTGTATACATTAAATTATATTCTTAAAAGACATTAATTATTACACTTTACATAATAATATTATTATTTATAAAAGTGAGGATTAGTTCTAGTTAATAAGAGGCTAGACATTTGTTTGCAATAGATCACGTTGGATGTTCATGTAAAAAATTTATTTAATAATATAAAATTTTGAATTGTTTAATTCAAAGTTGTAAAATATTTTTCATAACAGTAGATAGTTCTTCTTTCTTTCTTTTTTTTATAATGTGTAATATAAAATGACTTTCTCTTTTTTATAAGTACAACAAGATATATATATATATATATATATATACTATTCTTCACTTAATATAAAAATGGAATAACGGAGAATTTGGGTTCGCTATATATGTTGACAACGTGACGTTGTGAAGATTTATGGAAGAGACTCGAGTATACATAGAGAGCCCTAAAATTTGATGGTTGTGTAGAAACAAAACAAAAAAAAAACAAAAAAAAGTTTAAATTGATGATGGAAGCTCTTCCTCAGGAAGCAAGAGATAAATCCGGCGAAACTTTAAACCCACCCGTGCCGCCGGACAAAAGCGAAAGATCACAAAACAAATCTACAACAAAGGGGAGGATAGAGGGGAGCCACAATCCAGAAATGATAGATAAGAATGTCTCCTTCAAAGACATGCTTGTCAGCCCTTACTCAAGGGCGAGCGGACTAGAGACAATACCGGTGGATCAAGATGAGTATATGATGATAGACACTCCCCTAAAGGGAGCAGGGTCAAGCCCAACGATACAGGGGCTGGAGAGCAAAGAATTGGACGAAAAAGATGAAATACACCTCACAGAAGAAGACAAACAAAGGATATACAAGCCATGGACCTTTTCCATTATTATAAAGGTGTTTGGGAAAAAGATTAGCCACCTATATTTGAAAAAGAAATTGGCAACGCTATGGAGAGTCTCAAAGGAAATCATTTTAATAGACTTAGTGTGGGGTCCATCCCTATTTGCCAAATCTCACAATGTCAAAAGGTTGGCAGATTTGGAAGATATTGGATATACATGTGCAAATTTTTTCAAAGGTTGGTAAGCTGCAAAGAAGAAAAAGATTGTTTTTCTTTTGTAGCATAGTTTGAAAAATACTGCACTTGTTATCTATAAAAGGGAGTCTTCTTCATTCTCAAAATGCACCAAAACAAAGGAGAGAAAAGAAGAGTGAGGCATCACAGAGGATAGTCTGTGAGGAAAAAATAGAGAGTGTGAGCGATATTGTAGTGAGGTGAAAAAATCAAAAGAGGGTTATTTCTTTTGAAGTGTGTAGTGGTCTATGGAGTTTTTACTCAGACCTACAAGTGTAAAAATCCTTACTATAGTGATATCAGTTGCTCCTTTCGGGCTGTGGTTTTTCCCTTATTTAGGAGGGTTTTCACGTAAAATCTTGGTGTCATTATTGATTTTTTTATTTTTGTTGATTAACCGCATTATTGTGTTCCACTTTTATTGCTTTTATTACCGCAAATATTATTTCTGTTGCGAGTTTATTCCCAACAATTGGTATTAGAGCACAGGTTCTGCTCATTTACAGAAATATTTTTGCAGCTTATCGTACTATACTCAGTGGAAAAAAATGTTTGGAGTAAAGTACGAGGTAGCGAAATTCAACGGTGATAGTGGTTTCTTAACGTGGCAGAGAAGGATGAGAGACTTGCTCATCCAACAGGGTTTGCACAAGGCACTAGGCGGCAAATCCAAAGAGCCCGAATCCATGACACTTGGAGATTGGGAAGAAATGGATGAAAAGGCTACTAGTGCAATCAGGTTGCACTTAACAGATGATGTGGTTAATAACATCATCGATGAAGAGAGTGCATATGGCATTTGGACAAAGTTGGAAAATCTATACATGTCCAAAACACTGACAAATAAATTGTACCTAAAGAAGCAGCTATGCGCCTTACATATGGGTGAAGGTACAAATTTTTTGTCCCATTTAAATGTGCTTAATGGACTAATCACGCAGCTAGCAAACCTCGGAGTAAAGATCGAGGAGGAAGATAAAGTCATAGTGCTCCTAAATTCGTTGCCATCTTCCTATGAAAATTTGGCAACAACCATTTTACATGGTAAGGACTCTATTGAGTTGAAGGATGTCACATCAGCTCTTCTGCTTAATGAGAAGATGAGAAAAAAACTTGAGAATCACAGGCAGGCTCTCATCACTGAAAGTAGAGGCAGAAGTTACCAAAGGAACTCAGTAACTATGGTAGATCCGGAGCTCGTGGAAAGTCCAAGGTCCGATCAAAATCAAAGGCCAGAAATTGCTACAATTGCGATCAACCAGGTCACTTCAAAAGAGATTGTCCAAATCTAAAAAGGGGCAAAGGAGAAAGCAGCGGCCAGAAGAATGATGACAACACAACTGCAATGGTGCAAAATAATAACAATGTTGTTCTCCTCATAAACGAGGAAGAGGAATACATGCACTTGGCAGGTGTAGAGTTAGAATGGGTGGTCGACACAACAATATCTTACCATGCCACACTGGTAAGAGATTTTTTTTGCAGATATGTAGCATGTGATTTTGGCAATGTGAAAATGGGTAACACAAGTTACTCAAAAATTGCGGGGATCGGAGACGTTTGCATAAAGACAAATGTCGGATGCACATTAGTGTTGAAAGATGTGTGCCACGTACCTAATTTGCGGATGAACTTGATCTCGGGAGTTGCTTTGGACCGAGATGGATATGAGAACTACTTTGCAAATAAAAAATGGAGACTCACCAAAGGGGCATTGGTAATTGCAAAAGGAGTTGCTCGTGGCACGTTGTACAGGACACATGCAGAAATATGCCAAAGTGAATTGAATACGGCTCACGAAGAGATTTTTGCAGATTTGTGGCATAGAAGAATGGGTCATATGAGCGAGAAAGGATTGCAAATTCTTTCCAAAAAATCACTCATCTCTTTTGCCAAATGTACAACGATAAAACCTTGTAACTACTGTTTATTTGGTAAGAAACATAGAGTCTCATTTCAGACATCATTTGAAAGAAAGTTGAATATACTTGATTTGGTATATTCTGATGTTTGTGGTCCAATGGAGATAGAATCGATGGGAGGTAATAAATACTTTGTTACCTTTATTGAGGATGTTTCACGAAAGTTGTGGGTTTATATCTTGAAAACCAAAGATCAGGTGTTTCAAGTATTTCAAAAGTTTCATGCTCTGGTAGAAAGAGAGACGAGTCGGAAGCTAAAACGTCTCCGAACTGACAATGGAGGTGAGTACACTTCAAGAGAATTTGAAAAGTACTGTTCAAACCATGGAATCAGACATGAAAAGACAGTTCCTGGAACCCCACAACACAATGATATAGCTGAGAGAATGAATCACACCATTGTTGAGAAGGTGAGAAGCATGCTCAGAATGGCTAAATTACCCAAGTCATTCTGGGGTGAAGCAGTTCGGACAACATGTTATCTTATCTATCGTAGTTAATCATTTCCGTTAGTGTTTGACATTCCGGAGAGAGTTTGGACCAACAAGGAGATGTCTTACTAGCACCTAAAGGTGTTCGGTTGCAAAGCTTTTGCACATGTACCGAAGGAGCAGAGAACCAAGATAGATGATAAATCAGCTCCCTGCATATTCATCGAATATGGAGATGAAGAGTTCGGGT